ATGATTGCTCCCACATGCTTTGAAATTCCGGTGCTTTTGGCATGCAGGGCACATGCACTTCCTCTAGGCAGTTCCTAAAGCTCCAGAGAGAGTGCACATGGCACTGTGGATGTGCAAACAATATCAGGTATCTGGGCATGCCTTCCTTGAATGCAGCCAAATAAATAATAAAATATAGGTAAGCAAAAGTGCGCTGGCAGTCTAACAACACACTATATAATGTAAATCAAGAATTACATCTGGCCCATATTGTCCCCTGCAGATCTCTGAAATTCATACATTTAAGGCCAGACGAGCTCCTACAGAGCATGAGCCATGGAGTCCCATTCACTCCATTCCTGCAGCAAGAATTGTTCTTCACTGAATCCCTATAATGTTCTTTTGCTTAAATTTCTCAGAGGTCATTGTCAGTGTAAGAAAAGCTGATCCCCCCACAGAGTGGCCAAGACTCCTAGAAAACTCACAGAACTGCCCCTGTTTCTGTTCACAATATATTTCTGTGGAAAAAAAAAAAAAAAAAAGTTGATTCAGGGATAAATACTTTTTACCACCTTACCTCTCTTTTATGCGCCTTGTGCTTTACAGTTTTCACATCTCTGTGCAGTTTCAAACATCTTTAAAAACAGAAGATGAATGTTTCTGTCATCTACTTAAAACTTCTTTCTCGAGGCAAAGCAACAACATGCCAAGCTTCTCTGCAGTTCTTTCCAGTGAACTGTGACTATGGCTACATTAGCGGGTTGTGTGGGTACATCAGGAGCAGATCTGTAGAAATTCCTACTGTTGGACACGCAACACTAGGATAATATTTCAAGGGGGGGGAAGCTTCCATAAACTGAAGCATCCCTATTAGATGTGGGCACACAATTAACTGCACCTCTAGAGTGTCTTCCAGCTTAGTTTTCCCTGTACAGAACGCTGTACAGAGTGTAACACACTCTGAGAGCACCCTGTAAGGAGCATAAAAGTGTGGTAAGTGGCGAATATCAGATTTTCTCCATAAGGACATTCCTGACCTAAATTGAGAATGTAAACACATCCTCTGTGAGAATTTGCATGTACTTTTTGACATCTGAGGAAGAATGGCAGACAACTAACATTCTTATAGCTTAGACTAGTCTCCCAATTATACAATTACAGGTTACAAGTGAAAACAAAATGCAAATGTCAACACATATCTCCAAAGATGCCACCTACTCCTAGCTGAATTTACCGCCAAACGCAGGTGAGAAGGTCTGTGTGGGAGGTGAAGGTGACTGAGCCTAGTATAACACAGAAGAATATGAGCCTAGACTTGCTCTGTAGTGAAGATGTAGTTTAAGTGGTTGTCTTGACATAAAATTATAACGAGGACAATATATGACTTTTTCTGTTTTGAAATGAGATGAGCAAGGTGATAGGAGGTGATACTGTATATCTGACAAAAAAAGGCACATTAGAATTATAAGAAGAAGAGAAAGTCAAATGTTAGATTTCAGAAACTTGATGAAACATGAGTTCTGAAGCATGCAAATTGAGAAATGTAGAAATAATGGTGGAAGAATATCATTGCAAATTAACAATAAAATGTATTCAAAAGGAAGCTTCCCACTAAGATGCTATTGAATATGAGCATGAAAGACAGAAAAAAAGGAGGGGTAGGGGGGCAGAATAGGTATGTGAACAGAAAAAAAAAATCTGTATATGAAGTGAAAGCAAATTCTGAAGACCCTAGTGTGCCCAGATTTGGGTTTACGCTGAAAATCTGCACTTCAGAAATCTTTAAGAAGTAACTCAGTTACCAGTGTCTGATAGCAAAGATATCTAAGCACTTGACAAAACAAAGGTGGTATCACATAGGCAGAACAGGGCTATAATAGGCCAGGGATATAATAGGCTGAAAATTTCAGCTTCTTCTGAGTTGACCCTTTCAGAGTGACAAACAGAATCCTGGTCCCCACTGATCACGGATGCCCTGTAAAGAAGAGTCAGAGAGACCAAAATTAAACATCTACAGTTTCTGAGGCTAAAGGAAGTCAGGGGAGAGTGAAGGTGAAGGGGGTTTTTGGAGTGGTATTGCAGAGTTCAGGAAGTCCTAGATGACTAAATAATTATCTTCAATTCTCATCTGAACTTACAGCTAAAGCCATAATATGCCAAAAGTGAGCAAAGTCACAGTTACTGGCTCATTTTTCAACCACAGTTACACAAGAAAGTTTAGAATTAATTTTGAAAGAAAGAGTGATTGAAGTTCTGGAAATCAACTGTGACTTAAAATGAAGTGTGTGCTTCCTGGATTTGGGTATTGCTGTTTTATTGAAATACCTCCTTATTAGGTTTTTATAAAACAGTGAAATACATAAGATCTTATCTTTTATTTGTGTAAATGTATTTATACTCTATTTTTGATAGAGGAGCACACAACAAATTATTACCTGTTCTGGTGGCAGTAGAACCAAGTGAGTGAAGAACTGCCTTTACAGACTGAGAATCAGTGGGGCTATATGGGGCACTATCAGAACTCACTGAAGTTACAAATGGACATTCCCAAAGTTCCCTCTTCCAATTCCACATCCAGTTCTTCCTGCTCGCATGGTTTACTTCCCCTTATGTCCCTGTGCTTGTGTCTAAGATGATCAAAAGCAAAAATAAATAAATAGATAATTAAATAAATAGGACTAACACCAGTTTTTGATTCTTCCACTTGTCCCATTTTTTGTAATGGAGAATATCACTGATGACTTTTTGTTCAAACAAAATGGTTGCTTGCCAGCTGTGCTATGTTCACCAAAGAGCTGGAGTGAGAGTGTAACTGCTTGCAGCAACATCCAAGCTACTTAGGTGATGGGGGAATTGGCCCACTCTGTTTAAACTAAACTTCAACTACATTTGGTAGGAGTTTTGCTCAATAATGGGCAATATTTGTCCAATTTACTGTGAGGAACAAGAACTGCTGGCGCCAGCACTCAGTGAATAAGTGTTGAAAAAAAGAACATTTTATTTTGTTTTTGTTTCTTGTCTAACAAAAAAAAAAAAGGGAAATCCATTGACAGCAAAAGGAGCAGCTGGCTTCTGAACCTGAGGTTCCCGACTGCCAAAGTCCAATTAAACTCCATGAAAGGACAACAATACTTTAGTAATGACATTTTCCCCTAAACGGAACTTTTAGTTGTGCAACTTAACAGCACATTCATCTTTTCTATAGCTACCTTGTTTCAGTGATGGAACTAGAGGAAGTTAAAAGAAGAAAATAACTTTAGTAAAGATGAAAGTGTTTAAAATATTCAGCAAACTTACATTCATTATTTTTGTTATTAGCATATTAGCGTTTTGTTAATAGCATAACCCAGACGTCCCTGCGGCACTCAGAGACACATTATGCCAAGAAGCAGATCTTCCCTAAATCACTGACAGTCTAAACTGTTGAGTTGTAAAATGGGAATAAGATGGGGAAAGGTCAGCATTATATCCCTTTTTAAAGATAGAAAATTAAATCACAGGGAGATTAAGTGACAGGTCAAAGGTCACACAGAAGGCCAGTGGCAGAGCAGGAAAACTGGGAAATTGTCTCTTAAGTTCAGCTCCCTAAGCGCAAGACTACCCTTCCTTTAATGTGAAAACAAATAAAGTAGATGAAGATCATCTACTAGTCAGGAAATATCATTATGCTAGTAGTGCCTGGGTGCTGCAGCTCTCCTTTACACTGGGCATCCGAGAAAGAGAGCCTAAAGCACATTCACTAGTTGTAACCCAGTGACTTGGTGTTCAGGGGTTGGAATAGTAGTATCAAAATGAGTTTCACTGAGAACAATCTGAATTTCCCTGTCTCATACAGAAATTGATATTGTCCAGCCTTATTAAGGCAGAAGTGACAGCCAGTCCAACAGGACCACCTTGGTGAAAACAATATTGCAATTACTCTTTTATTTGTACTCACAGTCCCAAATCAAAAGCAAATTCAGAGAATTAGTCAATTATCAAGTTAATTGCAGCTCACATACTTCATGTAAGTAGAAAGTACATGTGATTTAAGGAACACAGGACAGGACAGGGCAAGAAGCAAACAGGTCATTTTTCCCCGGCTTGTCTTTCTTGAAGTGAGAGAGGCCTCCACCTGATCCGACATTACAGCACACGCTGCTGGAGAGTGTCCACATGCCCCGTTTCTGGCTCTGGGGGCAGGAAGCTGCGCATGTCTTGCCAAGGCCAAGCGAGTGAGCAGCAGTCAGAACAGATGCCTGGGCTTTGCTTGCCCTAAACGCCTCCAAGGACAGGGGCAGTCCAGAGAGTCAATCCAGGCTGCAACCCAGTCACCTGGAGTCATTTCTGTCACCTCATAGGCAGGATGGGGAAGTCCAGGTCAAAGCCTAAGCCAAGGTACAACCGCGCGGGCGTTTCAGCAGCGTAGCGAGGCCCTGCCCTGGCGGCCCTCCCCATGTGCACGGAGAGGAGTGGTGTGCTTGGCTGCTAACCTCCGGCTGGCCCGGGCGGGGGAAAGGCATGTTTCGGGGGAGGGAGGGAAATAGCAGGGGCTCCTTCTGAAAGTATCAACCCGTCTGTTTGGAGAGTCATGGCTGCCTTTGAAACCGCTCCCATACATCTATACTTAGCACTGGGGCAAGGAGCGTGTGCGTGCGTGTGTGCGCGCGCAAGGGGGCCGGGGCGCGCTCGGCTGCAGCCCCACGTCCCTGTCGTCCGGCCGTGTCCCACTCCGCCACGACTCTCCTTGCCCCCACCGTGCGCCTGTCCACTCCGGCCCAGCTTGTGAGCTTTCAGATGGGAGTATGGAGAGAGGTTTTGTTTGTTTTGTTTGTTTTCCTTTTTTTTAAATTTGTTCCCCTCCTGCTCCCTCCTCTCTCTCTAAACAGGAGATGTTCTCAGGACAGCGCCCAGGAGACTGGCTGGAATCAGATTTGGAGGGTGATGCACCACGACAGCTAAAAGTTGGATAGGGTTTCAGCAGCTCCTATATAAAGCAGGGGGGGACTTATGTCACCGCACTAATTAAATTCCATCTGGGTTGTTCCTCGGGGTGTTTTTGAGCCTGCCACCCAACTCGGGCAGGCAGAGAGGCCGCGGGGACAGCATGATGATGGACCTTTTTGAAACGGGCTCCTATTTCTTCTACTTGGACGGGGAGAATGGAGCCCTGCAGCAGCTGGAGATGGCAGAGGGCTCCCCTCTGTACCCGGGCAGCGATGGCACCTTGTCCCCCTGTCAGGACCAAATGCCACCGGAGGCCGGCAGCGACAGCAGCGGAGAGGAGCATGTGCTGGCACCGCCGGGACTACAGCCCCCTCACTGCCCCGGCCAGTGTTTGATCTGGGCTTGTAAAACCTGCAAGAGAAAGTCAGCCCCCACGGACAGGAGGAAAGCGGCCACGCTGCGGGAGAGGCGGCGGCTGAAGAAGATCAACGAAGCCTTCGAGGCTCTCAAAAGGCGGACTGTGGCGAACCCCAACCAGAGGCTGCCCAAGGTGGAGATCCTGCGGAGCGCCATCAGCTACATCGAGCGGCTGCAGGACCTCCTGCACCGCCTGGATCAGCAGGAGAACATGCAGGAGATCGGGGGCGACCCCTTCAGCTTCAGCCCCAAGCAGGGAAATGTAAGCGCTGCCGCCTGCTCCCTCCCGCCGCGCTGACATCCAGCCGCCCCCTCACCCTCTCCCCACGTCCTTAGCACG